CTGTTTTGAATGTTTTTTTGACACACAACTAGTTTAATGTATAGCAACTTCATTGTTTCCTCGTTGGTATCATTTGTGACCTCTCCTTAAAAAAAACAAAAAAACTTTACATACATAGATTTCCCTTGTGCCATATGTAGCTACCGTATATACTCGAGTATAAGCCGTCCCGAATATAAGCCGAGGTACCTAATTTTAGCCAAAAAAACTGGGAAAAAGTATTGACCCGAATATAAGCCGAGGGTGGGAAATGAGGCAGCTACTGGTAGATAGATACCATTAAAATACATTAATATTTATTTAAAAGAAAAATAACCTAGCTCTGTAAGTGGAAAAGGGGGTACAGGGCTACATATCATGTACTACGGATCATTTAACCCATTCATATTAGCAGAGGATAATTGTAAATCTATTGTTCAGTGCACTCTATATGTAGTATATAGTACATGTACATATAGAGTGCCTGCAACAATACATTTACAATGATCCTCTGCTAACATGAATGGGTTAAATGATCCATAGTACAGGGCTACATACAGATCATTTAATACATTCATGTTAGTATAATTGTAAATGTATTGTCTGCACTGTATTAGCAGTATATACTCTATATAGAGTATATACTGCTAATACAGTGCAGACAATACATTTACAATTATACTAACATGAATGTATTAAATGATCTGTATGTAGCCCTGTACTATGGATCATTTAACCCATTCATGTTAGCAGAGGATCATTGTAAATGTATTGTTGCAGGCACTCTATATGTACATGTACTATATACTACATATAGAGTGCACTGAACAATAGATTTACAATTATCCTCTGCTAATATGAATGGGTTAAATGATCCGTAGTACATGATATGTAGCCCTGTACCCCCTTTTCCACTTACAGAGCTAGGTTATTTTTCTTTTAAATAAATATTAATGTATTTTAATGGTATCTATCTACCAGTAGCTGCCTCATTTCCCACCCTCGGCTTATATTCGGGTCAATACTTTTTCCCAGTTTTTTTGGCTAAAATTAGGTACCTCGGCTTATATTCGGGACGGCTTATACTCGAGTATATACGGTAGATCTTTTTCAAAATTGGTGTTTTGTGCATATGACCAATACATTGAACTATGGATAGAGAGCCTGCCGACATACTTTCTGCAATATTTCTGTAATGCCTCATGCAAACTAAGTGGCTTCAGAGAGATAATTCCTTGTTATTAAAGCCCAACTGAATGTTTCAAGTGCAGCAAAAGGATTGTAAAATATAACCGTTTGTAGTTCTTTAGAAAGCAGCCACACCCTGAGTAGAAAAGCCTGTCCGGTGTCAACATACTGCAGAGAAGGACATTCACTCTCTGTGTGGAAGCAGTTTCTCTCTGCAGAGGTCTGGCACACCTTCCTGTTGAGTCAGACCTATAGCTTTGCAATGCTCACTGCTAATTGGAGAGCTGTGATGGAGCAGGTGTAATGTTGGACGTCTGCTGAAAGAACACTGCTGAGACCACCGCTGACCACTGTAGCAAGGGTTCCATAGAGCCGCATGCTGGCATGGGACAGGCTTTTATACTGATTGTGGCTACTTTCTAAAGGAAACAAAGAAGGATTTTGCATACGTTTTGTTTGGATGCACCTGGAATATATTTAGATGATTTACACTAAAAGTGCAGTTGGCTCCATGCTGGAGAAAATAATTATCTAACATATATAATTGCTACAAAAGTGGTTTTGTAATCTGTTATAAATAATCACCTTTCCATTTCAGTCTGCAGACAGATACAATCTTGTAAACCTGAAAAGAAAAAGGAACTATCACGTGCTTGTAACTGACAAATTTGGAACTTTTCTGTATACTGCTTAAAGTGGAAGTAAAGTCATCATTACAAGCTGTCTTATTTTAAAAGCATTATATAGATTCTGCTTGTAGTTGTCATTCCCATCCTCTATAGTCTTTTGTTCCCGAGTTATTCTTTTTTTTTTTTGGTCCCCTGTGACATCAATGGCACCTGCGGAGATCATCGCATATTCTCGACATCCTGGTGTGCCAAGTAATAAACAGCAGCTATGCCGTGATGATGTCTGCATAAAATTCTGGCATAGGTGTTCTCTCAAGAGTCAAGGTTTACGTGCTAAACTGCATTGGATCCTTTTCTACTGAGCATGCGTGGGATTTTGTTGCTAACGTCTGTGGAGGGTGGAAAACACGATAGAGAAACAAGTAGAGGTGCACCGAAATTAAAATTTCAAAACCGAAATTTAAAAAAATGTCGGGACGAAACCAAAAATGTTTATTTTTCAAATTTGTCAAAATATTTTATTTTGTATAAATTTTTTAATTGTTTTATATTAAATATTTAAATTTTTTGTTTACTTTTAGAGGCTTCGGGGAAATATTATGGGTCTAAACAGACCCCTGACATTTCCTTTTTTAAAATAGAAAAAGAGATTGAGGACACAGAGCCCTCAATCTCTTTTTCTGCAGCCCCAGTTTTAAATGAACAGGAATCCTCTATACTGAGTGTTACTGTTCATTCATAACATGAGAACAGAGTATGTTTACTATAAACACAATCGTGAATGAACAGGAGGTGATGTAGATCACTTCCCATTCATTCATAATTGAGGATATAGTAACCATACCATGTCCTCAATTATGTACAAACATTCAGCGATCACTGACTGCTTGTACCTCACTCTCCTTCCTGACAGCTGTCACAGGAGGCTGAGCGAGCGGAGCTGAGCCTTCTGTGACAGCGCTGGCTGTCTCTGCCCACACTGCTCTCCTCTGATCTGTGACAGGAGGCTGAGCGGCCGTGGGAGGAGAGACGCCGGTCACTCACTGCGCTCTCCTCCCACAGCGCTTGGCCGCCTGTGACAGTTTCTCTCCTCCCTGATAGGACACAGAGCAGCGCCCAGCCGGGAGGAGAGAAAGAATGGATGCACCGCTGTACCAGCCAGAACATGGCACTTTCGACATTATGCTAGAAGTGCCATTTTCAGCCGATATGTTTTGGCGGCCGATATATCAGTGCATCCCTAGAAACAAGCACAGGGCCAAATACTAGATGGTGCTGTCTTCAACAACAAGGCGAGTAGAGCAGATTATACCAACTAACAAAGTAAGCGCATATGCAGGTCTTTGGAGCATTTTGCAAGCATTGGCTTTCGTAAGTAAATGTGATTTTTAGTTTTGTTTTTTTTTTTTGCAGAGTTCTGGCTTACTTTACTTCCACTTTTACTACAGGCATCTCCTTTAAATCCTAGCTCTAGACAATATTGTTTAGTTTTGGATAGAGCTGAGAAAAGTTAACATTTTAGTCAGATTCCTGATTGTGATGCCAGATGGGGAGATTTTCCCTCACTTTCTGTCCCTCTGACGCCTGTACAAGAAATGAGTGTGTGGGTGTTACTGGGATAGGAAGGCACTGATGTCAATAAAACATTGATAAAAACATTATCATCTGTGTTCCTATAGGAGAGACTTTCCATTGTTTCATGTTCTTATATATAAATATTTGATCACCTAGCATAGGTTGTACATATCTTCCTACTAAATGTGTACATATAATGGCAATTATCTTTGTAAAAATATTTAAAATAGTAATAAAAATGTGTAATATTTTTATGTACATATTAATATGTAAATATTTTCATATGCATTTGTGTATAGTAATAATCATGCGCCTATTTAAGGGTTTTTGTGCTTCACCTTTCTAGTCTTCTATATACAGTAAACTCCTAGTTATCCGGCACACACGGGGATAGGTAGGTGCCTGAAAACCTGTAGTTTCAGGTTGCTTGAGAGTTAATAGTAACTCTCGAGCAACCGTCTCTGCGGCGCCATGCTTCCCCCTGCAGCCCCATTCACCTGCCAGGTAGCTTCCACAGCTGACATGCGAATGGAAGCAGCCGGGAGCAATAGCCAGCCTGCTGTTGGCTATTTCGAATTGCAATAGCCATTAGCAGGCCGGTTATTGAATCCCTGCCCATTGAGCAGAGGAACGGCCCTGAGAGAAAGTACTCTCTCCAGTCGGATCCTCTTCTTGGTGGGCAGAGTTTCAATAGCCAGCCTGCTATTGCAAATTGCAATAGCAGGCTGGCTATTGAAAGAACCCCACCTACTGAGCAGGGGAGCGGACCTGAGAGAGAAAGTTTTTTCTCTCTCAGGTCCTCTCCTCTGCTCAGTGTGCTGGCACAATGCCCAAGCTGCTATTGCAATTCGAAATAGCCAATAGCAGGCTGGCTATTTCTCCCTATTGTTTATATTCTGCTGCCAACCGAGGAATCTAGGCACCTGTCGGCAGCAAAATGTAAACAAAGAATTTTTAGTGTGCACCAAGCAACCAACAGCTTTTTAATTCACATCAAGCCACCTGCAAAAAAGCAAAACGTTGCTTCAGAGTGCCGGTTGCTTGAATGCCGGATAATGGGAATGCTATTGTACTTTTAGTAGGTAGTTGCTATGTGGTTTTAACAATATTTTCATAATTGCATCTTATACTATTTGTCATATTGTTAGAAGCCTGACTTTTTGAATATAGTCATGCAGATTGCAGAAGGTATTATAATGTCTTTCATTATATGTGCTGTCAGTGGTGGAGAAGCATGTTGTATTTGCTATTTCTTTCATGCACATGCTGCCAGTCTATACTATTCATTCATATTTAATGAGCAGGAAAGGATTTTATTTATTACTACGTGTTGGGACAAAGCTTGTAAAGCATTCTTGCATCACGTTGACTTGGTGTGACTGGAGTTAATATGTTGACTTGAAGCTGACCTGTTCTGTTAGATTCATTCTGTGTCTGTCTAGAGGCTGCTGTCTGGCTTGTGTCTGTTGGCCCAGCTATTTGACTTTTTTCTATTGACAAAGAGAGCAGCAGATGGCTTGGTTGCAATTACATAGCACTGGCACAAAAAGAAAGTTCTGGTGACCCCAAAAGTAGATATTTTTATACTTTGAAAAATGTGGAGTACTAAATGATATCTGAAAATGGAACTGGACCAAGTTCACATAGTGATAATGATCTGCTTGTGGATTTGTGCTCCATTCATTTTTATGTTGCATAAATTATGGACTTTTTAGTGGTTTGTTTCTCTCTTTCATAAAGACAGCAAGCCGATGCTATCTTTAAAATCTCTGCTGAACTGACTTGTAGTACTGTGAAAACAGCTTGGAGTCCATTCAAAGTAAATTGAAACTGCAGTTGAGCTTTTAAAAGGGAAAGATAGTATTTTTAGATAGTCTTGTTAGAGATATACCTAAGGGTAGTCTGTGGGCCTCGTTATTCATGTGAAGGTGGACAGGCATATTGCAATATAATTGTACAATCTCCTTTTTGTATTTTGCAATGTTCAGTCCTTCTTAAACAATCCATCCAATTGATATCCAGTAAGGTAGGCACTCACACTACATCAATCTAAAGCTGGTCATACACTATACGATTTTAGGCTCTGTTTGGGTATTCTGACAGCAGCAGGATACAATGAGGACAGTGAGAGATTCCTCAATCAACCCTCATAAGCGGTGATGGAGGAATCTGTTCTATTTTCTTTGCTCAACCTGCAGGTTGAACAAAGAAAATATAACAGTGTATCGGCAGCTTTAGTATCACTAAAGTACAATAAGTTTATAATGTGTGTGGCCAGTTATGTGACACTTTAAATGGCAGGAATCCCCAGGTGCCTGCATACTGACCCCTGCCACCTGTGCATCCTTTCACAATGGATACTATGCATCTCTTGCACTTTATTGAAGTTTAATGGGGCCACCCATCACACTAATGGGCCAATAGTAAAATGCAAATGGAGATGCGGTGGGCCAGAAGCCGTGAAAATAAATGCTATTTCTATAACGGTGACCCAGGTATCTGGGGTCCCAAACTATGTGCAGGAGATTTAAACTAATATGCAGGCATCTAGAGGTTCCTCCTATTTGAAGGTTCACATTTTTTGGGGGGTGCTCAGGTCAGATTTAATGTAAATAATCTAGAGCTGCAGCTAACGATTATTTTCAAAATCGATTAGTTAGCCGATTATTAGGTTCGATTAATCGGATAAACAATAAAATAAAGTTTAAAAAAAGGCTCCAGTGATGGGACTACTAGTTTGTATTGAGGTTGTAGTCCATCACAGGAGCAAGCTTGGAGCGGTGGAAGTAAAAAAGAAAGATAGTGTGGTGTGCAAAATAGTGAAATGAAAAGTGTAAAATTATACAGCAATGAATGCAGAATACCACCAGCTATAGAGGAATACAACAAATCCCAGCAATAGTACATAATAGCTGGAGGCATTCTGCATTGCGCTGTATAATGTACTATTGCTGGTGGTATTCAGCATTGCACCACTGTATAATGTATTATTGCTGGGATTTGTAGTCCTCTATACAGCGCAATGCAGAATATCACCAGCTATAGAGGAGTACAACAAATCCCAGCAATAGTACATTATACCGTGCAATGCAGAATATCACCAGCTATAGAAGAGTACAACAAATCCCAGCAATACATTATACATACAGTGTATAATGTATTGCTGGGATTTGTATTCCTCTGTATAATATACAGCACAATGTACCATCAGCTATAGAGGAATACAAATCCCAGCAATACATTATAGAGCACCATGTGTGGGAAAGTGCAGGCTTACCTGAGCAGTCTTCCAGCAACTTGCTTCTGAGATCGGGCCTGTCTATCGGCGGCTGTCATCCCCCCACACCTGCTCCTCCTTACTACATCTCCCCGCGTCCCTGTGCCGATCGTGGATGTGGGCGGGCGGTGAGTGTGAGGCGGGGAGGAGGTGCGGCGTGAAGAGCGTGGATGCGGGCGGGTCTGGCAGCGGCGAGCGTGAGGTGGGGAGGAGGTACGGCGCACAGCGTGTGGAGCTGTGAACAGGGCCAACTGATCGGAAGCCGATTAATCGATTATTGAAAAAGTTGATAACTTTTTCAATAATCGATTATAATCGATTAGTTGTTGCAGCCCTAAAATAATCTTATTTTAAAAGCAATTAAAAATCTTGTTTCTATGTATCTTTTGTAATAATCTGTGTTCATGGTGACATGCGTTTCGATATCTCATTGCTGACTGAAAACAGTTTAGTAATTTTTTTTATTGCAGTAATGTATTTTTAATAAGTAATTCAGGTAACAGAATACTGTTGTCCAACCACTATATAGATCATTTGTTCATAGCAGCAAAAGCACACATCTTTAAAATGTTAAACACTTGATTATTTGTAACTATTTGAAGGAGGATATTACTGCCCCCCAACACATGATTAGGGACCCTGTTACACTGCAGTAATGCACTGTAAAGATGCATGCTTTCAAACCACAGTAACGTATTCGGCACACTGAGTTTCATCCCAGTACCAGCAGACCCAAGTCATTCAAACTATTGTTCAGGACAAATAGTTAACAAGGATAAGAAATGACTCCACAGCTATAGTGTAGGAGTGGTACAGTATGTTCAGTTTATGCCAGAAGTTGTCTATCTGAAGAGTATGCTAACTCCTGGAAAAATGTCAAAAACTAACTTCAAAGCAAGAATATTCACAGCAAAGCACCAATTCTGAGTCACGGATAGATGTTATCACTGCATCCAATAATTCTTAACGCAGCTCTGTGCCAATGTCACAAATGGGTAATTTTGGGCCGATCAGGATTTTACTGCATGGCCAAAAATGAAACAAGATGAGCATCTTGGTATATAAAAACAATTTATTTTTATTAACAGAATGCAGCTCCACTGTTTTCTGAGATGAGATTGCACATCCTCATAACATGTCTGAATTGGGAAGATTTTCATTACAGAATCTCCAAAATTACAGGAACAGTGTCAGAAATCAAAATGTAAACAGGTACATTTAGGCTCGTGATGTATCATATCACAGGTTTGGTTTTTTTTTTTAAGATGAACTAATTTGTATTTTTCTTATAAAATGATGGCCTTCTATGTAACATAATTATTTAGTTAGTCAGTACTACTTTAATATGCAAATACGTTGTGGAGTACAGATAATATAAATGGGGGGGGTGCCAGAGTTGTTTTCAGACACTAGACTTGCATTGAATTACAAACTGATAGTAAATGAAATCAGTTGTGGGGGAGCGAATTCGAAAACATTTAGAAGAACCAACTCTTTCAAAAATATACTTGTAAAAAGTAATTTACAAAAAAAGGAAAGATCCTTATGAAAGGTGTCTTTTATATGCCAAATGGGTGATTGTTGTAAATGTATTAAAACATGGGATAGAATTGAGGTTCTACATGGAAGAAAGATAATGCTGTATCACAAGGCAGATTGTTCTACAGAGTTTGTGATTTTTATTTTTTGGGGGGACGTGTAAAATGCATTATGTCCTTTTAGCAGCTCTACCTCAGGGTTGTGACAACAATTCACACCCCCAGCCATGTTAATTAAAGATTTAACATCTATGCAGATTTCCTGACACCAAGGATGGGATTATGTAACTAGAACAGGGTGGTTCCACAACTTTTAACCTCCTGTCCTGTTCTTGGACCTTCAACACCTTCCTTTCTATGGTGATTAGATTAGGGTGTCTGTTCTACCTATGTGGACATAAATGCAGGGGTGTTTTCCTGATTTGAGAACTGAGGAAGTGGCTTGGATAAGCTAAGTCTGCGACATCATAGAACATGTCCAGGTCAATGTGATTAACTACTACTACTAGCTATGTTGTGACCTGGATACATAAGAACCTTCACAGACATATAACAATACATGATTCCTGTGTTCTTTGCGTGTTTTTCTTTCCTGTCCTATATATTTTTAGCTAAATATTTTTTTTAATACTCCTGGAAATGTTGCTTGTATGCATACAAATACCTTTAGTACCAGGTTGATTATATGATGAGCCACAACAGGCCATATGCTCTGATAGGAGCACATTTGAAAATATTTTTCAAATAGCGTAATACTTCCACTTTAATTAACAAATACAGGCTGTCATACACAGGCTGAACTGGTCAGTTCTGTGGTGCATTTCAGTGATCAAGAGGATGTATTTCAGTGCAGTCTATACCAACTAAAATGCACTGTCATACGTTAAAGACATTGTGCTCTTCAGCCTTCCTGTACCATAGAGGTGAATGAGAGCTGGCATTCATGTTTCTGAGCACTGGGCCTGATAACAATATCTGCAAGCATAGGTATACGTTGCAAGTGTCAATGAAGCATAATAATAGAACAAAGACTGTTGTGTACTTTCAATACTTTCATAACAAGATGGTAGACTTAATTTTTCAGCCATACTGATGGGTGGCTTTTCTTTTCACCTGGAATTTCCCAAGAGAAAGAAACTGTCGCCTTGAGGATTTTTTATCAAAGTAACACGACTCAGTAGCCTTAAAAATGCATTCTAGTACCTTAACTATTAAAAAAAACATAGCTTATTTGTGTATCAGTTTGCTGTAGATCATCAAATTATCTCTGATTTGGTGCTGGCACTGTCCTTCCTTCTGGAGGGTGGCTACTTTTGTACCCCATGGTCCCTGTGTGTGTTGTAAAGTAGCCACCACTCCAAGCTCGCTCCTGTGGTGGACTACAATCTCACTACAAATTGGCAACTAAACATGAGATTGTAGTCCATCACAACAGTGAGCTTGGAGCGGTGGCTGCTTTACTCCACACACACAGGGACCATGGGGAACAAAAGTAGAAAGCCTCCAGAAGGAAGGACAGTGTCAGAACAAATTCAGAGATGATTTGAGCATATAATTGATACACAATCTACATTTTTGTTAATAGTTAAGGTACTTGAACGCATTTTAAAGTTTTAAAAGAGAACTATGGAGATACCTTTTTATCCCATAGTTCTCTTTAGGGTCACATCCTCCCGTGACCCAAAACTCGTTATATAGCGGGCTATTGCCTATGTGCTGAGAGCGCCGCAACTGGGACGGATCCCGACAATACTGTCGAGATCCACCCCGCTGGCTGATTGACAGCTGGCTTTGCCTATCTAGAGGTAGAGCCAGCTGTGCCCGTCTCCTCC